AATAGCCTTGCATGCAAACTTTTTAAAAAAATTGTATCTCAGATGTCAGGATTGTGTTGGACTCTTAGTTGGGCTTAGAAGAGTTGGTGACTCTTCTCTCATCGGTAAAACTCAGTGGGGCTCCCTAACCCTACCTGGGAAGCAGATGTGGGAAGAGTCCCTCTGGCCTTGGGCTTGTTTAGTGGCTCCCAGGAGATGTGGTACCTCTTTACGTGGGCTTGGCGTCGCGTTTGCAAGGTAGCCGTACCAAAAGCAAGTAGCAAAAGTGTGTGTGTGGGTTCTGATTCCTTGTCACTGGGACTAGTAAGAAAAAACATTAGGGTGTATCCATTCATTCTGTTTCGCCCTCTTCTTGTGAACTGTCCAAATTTGACACATAGTGTCACAAAGGGATTGTTTTTTTCATTGAACATACTTAACATTCTTCATATGACAATTTTTAAAAATACTATATTTTAAAATGCTTAAAAGATCCAGACTTCTTTCTGTGATGTCCTAATGTCCAGAAAAACGTTTATCTGATCTTAAATATTAGGGTAAGGCCTTATGCTTTGTTAAGTGTGTGAAATTAGTAGTGATACACATTTTAAAACTATTTTTTTTAAACGTTTGGCTTGCAAAGGTTATGATTTCATCGTTCTGAAAAAAGAAATCCTATCGCCTTTTAAAAAAATATCGATTCTCTTTCTGTGATTAGCCTAAATATCTGCCTTTCTGAAAACTCACAGAAACCATAGTAACAACAAAAATGAGATCTGATTAGGGTTATTTTTGTTGTAGGATTCCTGTGGGATTTTTGTGCAGTTCTACCTTGTGTGCCAGAACACAAAATAAGAACTGAAAAGCAGTAAACATTCATGACGGATGGCTGAGTTAATATTTTGCTGATGATATATTGCTGAGGTGAAGCTTGTAGTAATTCTGATTTAGTATAAAAAACATTTGCATGTAGCCCAAGGATTGGAGTGAGGGGAGGTTTAAAAAAAAAAATAAAATCCAAAGCTGCTAAGTTGAGAAAATTTGGAATAATTAACAAATACATTCAGTGGAAATGCTTTCTTCAACGTTTACATGGAAATATTTGCAAACATTCTGTAGGTTTTGAACTTTGATGCCTCTGTGCTGTGTGGATTCACAGGTGGTACGTCTCAAGCAGGGGGAGGTGGCAGGCAGAGGCCACGTCCTGCTCCGAGCCAAGCTGCTGGTGGTGTTTTTTGGAAAATAACTGTCCCCAGGTCCTACCTCCTCCTGCCAGGCAACTTTCTGTTGTTTTAGCGACCTGGTGAAAAAAACACCACCAAACTTTCGTTCTGATAACTGTGTGCTTTGCTGCAAAGACTGTCCATTTGTTAATGCCACAAATAGAAGAATCATAGAATCATAGAGTGGTTAGGGTTGGAAGGGACCTCAAAGATCATCTAGTTCCAACCCCCTGCCATGGGCAGGAAAATCCTCCACTACACCAGGTTGCCCAAAGCCTCATCCAACCTGGCCTTGAACACTTCCAGGGATGGGGCAGCCACAGCTTCTCTGGGCAACCTGTTCCAGTGCCTCACCACCCTCAATGTAAAGAATTTCTTTCTTATATCTAACCTAAATCTCCCCTCTTTCAGTTTAAATCCGTTGCCCCTTGTCCTATCACTACACGCCCTTGTAAAAAGTCCCTCTCCAGCTTTCCTGTAGCCCCTTTAGGCACTGGAAGGCTGCTATAAGATCACCCCGGAGCCTTCTCTTCTCCTGCTTTAAAATCCAAAGTCCATCAGTGACTCAAAGAAAGAACCCGCCACCGCCTCAGCAAACCAGACTTCAGCCAAACCTGAGCCAGGTTCTCCGGGTTCCGAAGGCTCTCGGCAGCGCCCGAGGGGGAATGGCCCCCAGAGCCCCTCAGCCTTCCTCGCCGAGCCGAGGGGCTCAGCCTTCCTCGCCGCCTGGGCTGCTGCTGCCCCGGACAGACGAACCCGCGGGGCGCGGGCAGTGCAGCAGCGGGCACTGCCAGACCTGATGGCTCATTCTTCCTGTCACATGAACCCTTGCTGCCTTGCTAATAAGCACTTAGTTGAATTTTAGATGCCTGGAACCATTAGAAAGGCTGGAAGGCATTTGTGTACCTTGTCCATTAGAAGGAAAATCTGTTTTCTGTACCCATGTACCTCCTACAGCCTCTAGCTCAGCTTCCGAAAGTAACTGCATCTTTCGTGTCGCTACCTGGATTGCAGTGGTTCGACGCCAGCGGTCAGTCCCTCTTGCTTTCTCCCACTCGAGGTAGTTACAAAAATACAAATAAATTTTCTTTTTACCATCGAGAGAAGAACTTGCAAGAATTCCCGTGGTAAGAATTAGTGTTGCACTCGGCTGTCTGTGTCCTCTTTGGTTTCATCTCCTGCAGCATTGTCACATCTAGTGCTTTCCTTTCCCCCTCCTTGGTGATGGTACCTTTAGGTTGTAGACGTCTTTTTTCTTACGAACATCAGGGTTTAATTTCTGCCACCCCTTCCCCAGCAGAGCAGGTGACGCAGGGCTCGTGGTACCCAGTATCCCCAGTGTGTCGGAGCCTTTCCTCCTGCAGTAGTAGACTGGGTCCTGTGTATGCAGAGGAAAAAAAAAGGGGAGAAGTATTGAATTTTTGTGGATAGACTGAAAATAAGCATAGTGGAGCATTTTGTGAGAATTCATAGACTACAGAGCTGGGACAGACCGAATCAGCTAGTTTGACTCTGTATTTTACGGGATTATCCCTGAGGTTGCCCCTCTCGTGCTGTGCGCAGGCGGCCCCTGAACTTCTGCAGCAGTGCTCTCTTTTTTTCTTTTTTTTTTTAAGCTTATTTTAATTGGCAATTACTTCACAAGTTAGTTTGCCTTTTCTTCTAATGGCTGAACTCCATGGGGTTTGTAAAATAAGGCATTTTTATTTCTTGGAGAGGGCTCGTGCTGAGTTAGCTGGTTTGAAAAAGATGAAGGTGCATGGCTGTTGAAGGAGTTGCTGCAGTTTACCTGTTAATTGCTTGTGTGCCCCAAGGCTAATTAAAGCTGCAGCTATGGAGGCAGGTACCTGCCACCTCCGCCCTCGCTCCTGGGGCGCAGAGAGGGATGGATCTGGTGTGGGTTCACATCTGGCCGGGGGCCAGCAGTTCAGATGTCTCCTGCTGACAGACACCTCTGTGTTAGGAGGTGCTCTTGGTGTAATATGGCTTAAATTTTCATCCAAATCACTTAATTAATTGCTCTTTCTTCAAGGAAGTGGTTCAGCTTTGTGCCATCTGGGGAGTTCTTACCCACAAAGCTTGGGGCTGACCACCTCCCTTTTTTTTTCCATCTCTCCTGTCCAGAAAACGTGCATGGGGAGAGGATGGAGGCTGGCTGTTAGGTGATCTTCATCTGATGGTGAAACAGAGTCCCGTTTCTGTGACAGTCTGTTGTTTTGGAACAGCTGGAGTGGGTGACAGCACTGCTGAATTTTTTCCAGTGCTTCCCAGTGTCATTTCTTTCCCATTCCCTCTCTCGGCCAACCCTTGGACCTGCCAGCTCGTGTCATCGCCTGCTAACCCGAGTCATTCAAACCTTGCCGGGTTGAACTCCTTTAACAAGGGGTGTGTTTAAAATCTTCTTGCCATAACTGGCATCAGGAGCTGTGACACAGCTGGGTGGGGAGGACGGCAGCTTCCACGCCGAGGAGGTGGAAAGCCAGCGAGGACGTTGTGTCCGGCCGCAGTGCCGTGGCCTGCAGGTCCTCGTGCTGCACGTGCTCACGGGCGTGCAGCCGTCCAGTTCACGGCAGAGAAAATAAAGCAATTCATGCTCTTCTCAGCAAGCTTGTAGGATTCGGATGTCCCACAGCTCAGACCTGCAGCTGTGGTTTGGATGCAAATGTCTGGTGAACTGTGCTTAAATATCTGAAAAAGTTTTGGCTTGGACTTTCTCAGAGGACGTGGACGTAGTCTGATCTTTGATCTTAGGTGGCAAAAGGAATAAAAATGTAAGATGCAGAGCAGTTCTGCGTGAAACAAGACCCTCGTTTAGAAGTGTGAGCTGGTTTTTTTTTTTTTTCCCCCTGGTAAGACATAGAAGTAAAATAAGAACATCTCTCCCCCCTCCCACCCCTTAAACGCTTGGGAAGGATTTGAATGGCAACATATCTCTCCAAAGAAAAGAAAGCAAAATATCACAGATGGCTTCAGCAGGGGCGTGCAGGAAGGATAGTTCAGAAAGATGTTAAGGAAGACGTTGCAGGGTTGCTGCTGTCTTGTGATTACAAAAGAGGGTAGTTTGATCCCAAGGTGCTTTTTTGTCTTTCTGCATCAAAACTCAATTTCTTTGGTGATGAGATAAAAATTAGATGGCAGCTGGTTTGTACATTCCTTTCTGGTGCATTGTGCTGTGAACGCTCCTGGTGTGGTGTTGCCAGCTTCTCTGATCAAAGCCTGTTTGCGTACCTGCCTCGTGCAAGTGATGCTGTACGTGTGATAAGCTGCGTGGTTATTTATACAGAGCCTGTGGGAAGCACAGCGTGCAAAATAAAAAACAAACTGTCTCCTCTTCAGTCATACAGTGTGAAAGGTTGAAGGGAAATGGCAAGATTCATACTTATATGTATCATTGTGTGATGTATCCATGGAAAAAAACCTTCCTTAGCAAAGCCACAGGCAGCAATGGAGTCTTCTGGGTGTATCCTGCTATTTGCTCCGCTAAACCAGATGCAACTGCAGCTCCTAAGCAGTGTGAGCTGAGGAAGTGCCAGAGAAATGGAAAGATCCTGAAAAGATGTATGCTGTGCCTTGTGAAAATGCGCTTGTGTGAGGCTGGGGTTTTAGAACACCTTAAAACAGATGGCATGTTGATCGTTTCAGGTGGGAGCGCTTCGGTGTGCGGCAGAACAAATGCTTGTGTACCCCATGGTGCCGTAGAACAGTCTTCTTCCAGAAGAGCCTGCCATATGCAATTAAAACTGCAGGGGTAATTTTACAGAAACCTCGTTAACCTCCCTTGTGTGTGGGTCTGTTCAGCTGCAGAATGAAGAGGAGCCCGGCGAGGCCGTGCCCGCGGTGAACGATGCCCCTCCGCCTTACAGCAGCATTTCCGCGGAGAACACAGGTGCGTTGGGCTGCAAGGAGGCAGCTGGCTTTGCTCTCTTGTGCTTTCTTACCTCCTTGGTTGCTCTCCTGGTTGCTGGATGGCATTGCAGCATCCTTACTAAGGCTGCAAAGGATCAGAATTGATCCAGAGAGACTGCTGGTACTTGTGGTTTAGAAGATGCATTTTGGATGCGTCTGATGTCATCCCATCAAGTGGTGTTCAAGTTACAATTCACAGCGTTCTTAGTAGATTGAAGACAGTTAAAATCCAAGTGCTGTGAGGATCTGTGGTTCCCCTCTCGTTATTTGGCATTCAGATGATGCTGTGCTCTTTCCAAAAAGGACTTGTTACTTAAAAGGGATGAAGAATTCACTATTTCTGCAGTCTTCAGGAACTAAGGACTTGGTCAGAAGGGTTATACTTCTTCTGAACCATCGTACTGCCATGTCACTAATAGCTTTTAGCAAAGCAGCTCATTTTCTGTCAGAGTATTTTGGCTTAGGGAAATCTTTTCATTTTTTCCCTCCAGAACTTTCATAGTCAATTGTTCAAATAAGATTTATGAATCAAACGCGACATGCTGTCGGTCTCTCAAACAACCGGCCAGCTTTGGATGGAAGTTTGAACATTGTGCTTCTCGAGCCACCTGTGGAGTGTCCTCCCTTGGCACGCTCGCTGCGGAGATGTCCTGTTACGTCTGGTTCCTCAGTGCATCTCGGCGACTGAGCCTCAGAAATGCCGTGTTTGATTTTTGTTCCAGTCCCTTTCCCCTCCATCAGAAAACAATTTGGAGTCTCTCTCTGGAAAAATTGGTCACCAGTGGCCTAAGGCTCGCAGTGATCCTTCTTTGACTCACTCAAACCACTTGAATTTGAAAATATGAGTACTTCTCTTTACTGAAGTCAGGAGACATGCAGCACGTGCCGTTGTTTTAGAGATAAATAACAGCTAGGTGTGTTAAAGTCGTGCTCTGCATTGTACTTTACATTAGATCAGGTGCTCCCGTGTTTTTCACTTTCTGTGTTGGGATGGCAGGAGGCTGGAAGGGTGGGGGGCGACAGGAGGGGCAGGCTTCAGCAGCCTGGGGTATTGGGGTCTTCTGAAGTCATCTGAAACGCTTCTCATTCCCCACATGGTGTTTGGAAGGAGCTGACAAGTTGCCTTCTATATAACGTTTTTTTTGCAGCTTATTTTGACTACAAGGATGAGTCAGGATTTCCTAAGCCTCCATCTTACAACGTGGCCACAACACTGCCTAGTTACGATGAGGCGGAGAGAACCAAGGCTGAAGCCACAATTCCCTTGGTTCCTGGAAGAGTGAGTACTCTTGGCTGTCTGTCTGTCCTTCACATCTCTTGTGTACGATTTCTCCTTTAACTCCTGCTGATCAAGTGTCACGACTTTTTTTTTTTTTTTTTAAGCTTTCTGGGGTGGTGATATTACACACTCCCAAGAGTTCTGTGGCTAATTTTTTTTTTGGAATTTTCCTCTGGGCAGCTGTGATGATGTAAGACATCTCAGTAATGCCAGTGTGTGCTATCCAGATTAGTTTGGCAAGCTGACAGAGGCACTGTACAGTATCCGTGTGCACTGTCACTGTTGTTTTTTTTTTGTTTTTTTTAAAAAAAGATTTAGGATTAATTGTTCAGCCATCTAGCATATCTACCCTTGATACTCCTGCTGCTTACTTAGTTGACTTTTCCAAAGGTTGGTGTAGCTGATACAAGGATAATATAACCATTCTGCTGGAATAATTATTTTTTCAGGTTTTTTTTTTTTTTTTCCAACATTATCTCTTGTTCAGCATCTTCCTCCACACTTGCTAGCATTAGATGTCCACTGCTCATTCTTCTTCTTCACAGAAGCCAATTCCTTGCTGAGAGGATAAGTTTTATTTTTTTTTTGTGAGTAGGGGAATTCTTTACGGTGAGAATAAAAACTTGCTTTGAGCAACCTGGTGTAGTGGAGGGTGTCCCTGCCCATGGCAGAGGGGTTGGAACTGAATGATCTTTGAGGTTCCTTCCAACCCAAAACAATCTATAATTCTATGATTCTATGCTGGATCTTGACTAACTTTAAAACCAAAAAAATACTGCAAGTGACATCGTATTTCATGCCCTGGATCATCTCAGAATGAGAAGCAGGAATTTTTCCCGCTTGCATTTGTAGCCTTTTGAGATTTAGGATTCCCACCCCATGGCGGATCTTTCCTTAAATGTAAATGAAGCATTTGGTATCCCCCCGTTGTACACTGCTTTTTGAGGGCTGGACAATTTGCTGGGCCTTTCTTGAAGAGCCACTTGCAGAATTGGGATCACTGTGTGGACTGGACTGACTTAAATCCACCCATGTCTTGTCTCCCTTCGATTTGCAGGACGATGACTTTGTGACACGGGATGACTTTGATGACACCGACCAGCTGAGGATAGGAAATGATGGCATTTTCATGCTGACTTTCTTCAGTAAGTACCTGGTGGAACTTAGCTATTTTGGGTCACTGCCTGAAAAAAACCTAAGAGTTGTTTTCACACTTATGTTTATGTAGCACCAAGAAAAAACTGTGTGCAAGGGGTTTATGATTTTTTTTTTTTCCCTTGGACTATAAAGAGGGCTTGACCTGCTGTTTTTCTCCTTCTTTCTCAGTGGCGTTCCTCTTCAACTGGATTGGATTTTTCCTGTCTTTCTGTCTGACTACTTCAGCTGCAGGACGATACGGGGCCATTTCTGGGTTTGGTCTGTCTCTTATTAAATGGATCCTTATTGTCAGGGTAAGTTACGTAGTGCAAAAACGTGTACATAGACACTGGCACTCTTTTTCCCTACCTTGTTTTTATCTCCCTTGTAGTGAAGGTAGTTGTAAATTTAGCTTTTTGTAACGAAATAGATTTTGAGCCCCTTATTCGCTGAGAACAGAGCTTTTCATCGTTCTGTCTTGTGTGTATGCTGGAATTTTTATTGTAATAAAAGAGAATAAAGATTGCACATGCAAGTATGGCACTCTGACAGAGCCACGGTATTGAGTCAAATCGTGTTTGAGTGTTGAGCAGTAACAATGATCTGATCTTTGTAAAAGGTTTCTCCAGACACAGCAAGCCCTGCTGTCAGCACGGGGATGTTTCTCTCCAGTATGATGTTCCTTAGGTGCTACTCTGGAAAAAAAAAAAAAAAAAATTCTCTAAAATATGGGATAGCCGATGAGGAGAGGGAAGTAGGGACTTAAAGAACTAGAAGTTCTTAAGTTTCTTAAGGTTCCTTCCAGCTTTGCATTTCGCTGGAGGAAGAGGCACCCACCGCTCTGTCACACGGTGGGAGAAGCCCACTGGTGCCCTCTGGTGCGACGTGCCTGCGGCACAAGCAGGAGGAGACCGGGAGGAAGCACGATTTTCTGTTCTATTTCGTTTTCCATATGAACTCTGGGCATATCCAGGCTGTTAAAACATCCCCGGTGCTCCCCTCCGCCACATCACCCAGGGAGAGGATGGGGATGACTGATCAGAACTGGTTTATGTTACAGGAGCCTGGATGCAAAGATAGGGCCCTGCTGGGCACGGACCCCTGCCTGCGGGAGCAAGAAAGGCTGACAGAATATTTTTAAAACTTGGAGGGGAAGAAAGAGAAACTTTTCTGGAAAAAGGAAAAAAAAAAAGGATATAGATGTGCTGATGCTGAAAGGAATAGGAAAAAAAAAAACGTCCAACTATTTTTTGGGGGACTGTGAGAAAATACCAGAAAAGCTTTATTTGGAGCCCGTGAAAAGAAGGTGTCTGTGAAAATGACATGCAGACATCCTAGGCCAAAAGTTTGAATTTCAAGAAAAACAATCTCACTAATTATGCATAAGTAGAAGTAGAGAGCATTAGTGTTAGGGCTGTCACTTTATACCTAACCTCTTTGGGCTAGGAATTGTAAGTACAGCATCTGTTAACTTCTCCTGTAGAAAGTTTGGCTTTTTAGGGTCACCTTGTATCGGTGGTGTTAAGAATTATTTGCTGGATTAAGAGGTATGACAGAAACAGGTGACCTCAGCTGTGGATTTTATTTAAACTTTGATAACAAGCCTTCCTTTTGTTAGGTTTTCAAACTGGAATAGAATGAAAACAAAAAAATTACCCTGTATTTACCACTGATAGTGAACATCAGTGCTCTGATAGCGTTGGTGCCGTTCGTTCAATCGGCAGGAATTTTTGCAAAGGAAAATCTTGTCAGAGGGTTCCACAGATCGGGGATTTCTTTGTCATCTGTACGTTTTGTTTGCTGTACTGTCCCACCTCACAGTGTAATTAACGTGATGCACTGCTGCAAACCTGCTCTTTCCTTTTGGAAACTGCAGCTGTGGTTTATAAGCAGCGAAGATGTGAGGGGAAACAGAAGCGTTTGCCCAGTGGTGTCTTTCTGCTCCACTGATTGCAAGAGCTTATGGCTGGGTGTTGAATCTGTTCGTTCCCCTTGGTCAGAGTTGGTCTGACGTGTGTAGAAGAACCTTAAACGAATGCTCGTCCAGATGTTCCCTGCAGTCTGCAGTCCTCGACGTGGAGCATTCCGTAAGCTCTTGTGTGTGCAGCGCCCTGGGTCTGGTTACTGCTGAAATTGGTGAGAATAATTTGGGTTCAGAAAATTCCATGTGCTCTAACTTGTATCTTTTTGGTTTTTTTCAGTTCTCCACCTATTTTCCTGGTTACTTCGATGGCCAGTATTGGCTTTGGTGGGTCTTCCTTGTACTAGGTGAGTGTTTGTTCTGGGGGGAAAAAGAAACACGTGCTTAAAACTCTGTGGAGTACTGTTAGGGCTTTTGTGAGCGTGGCTCTACTGGCTATTAAAATATGTGCCTGTAGATGTAGAACTTAAATGTGAACCTCAGAGTACTCCTCCCCTTACTGAATGCCTTCTAGGTTTTAAAGGTACACACAAACACTGTCCTTTTGTTGTTGTTTCTTGGTGGCAGCAGCCTATTTATTATGCAGAAGGAGTAAAGAAGAGAACAGTGCTTGTCTTCAGAGTAACTGGTGGTGTACCTGTTCTTAAAGGGAAGAGTGGGTTCTGGTCTTTATTTTTTTTTTCCTTCTTCGGAAGTGACTGGATCTCAATGAGTCAAGAGTTTTGTGATTGCCTAAGGAAAGTTTGGATTTAAGATTGCTTGAAATGGAAAGATTAGGTGTCATCGATACAAAAAACCTCTTGTATTTAATCAACTGGTTTGCATCCCAGTCCCTCCATGCTAGTAATGGTGAGTTGAACTGCTCCTTTTCTGATTGAAGAAGCAAAACCTGTGTTAACTGGACAAATGTGTTTCTTCCATCCAGGTTTTCTGCTGTTTCTCAGAGGATTTATTAATTATGCAAAGGTTAGGAAGATGCCAGATACTTTTTCCACTCTCCCCAGAACCAGAGTTCTCTTTATTTACTAAAGGTAAACTTTCTGCTTTCCTGAATTTGTTACTTTTTTTTTTAAACTCTGTTTATAGTGACTCTTTTAGGCTAGAATCTTCTTTGCTTGAATATTTTTAGAACACCATGCAGCAGAAGACAGTTGTTTCTCGGTATCCCATACACGGCTCCTGTTTCGGCAGAGCCCAGACTGACGTGGGGAGCAGAGGAATACTTGACATTTCTTCCTGAGTTTTTGCTTTGAGGAATTGTACATTCATTAGATTCCATGACTTGAATTGTAAGAATAAAATCTCTGCTCCTTGGTGTCACACTGTGTTTGGCCAGCGTGTCTTTCAGAACAGATCACACGCCTGAAACGCGCGCTGTGTCCTAAACACGAGTAAAGGTCACAAAACGTTGTGAGAAGATTTGGCTTATGTCCCAGAACCAACACTTTGTCTGAATTTTGCGTGCTGTTTGCATTTTCTGCCAAGTTCCTGAAAAAATTGAGCTCTTGCACACCTTGGCTCTTGGAAAACCCCTCCGGCATACTTGAGGATACTGTCCTGCCTGAGCATCTTTCAAAGCCTTAATGCCTAAAAGTCTTTTGCTTTGAGGCTGAACCTTAACGAGTTGCTTTCTTAATGGGACTTTAAAGAAAGAGGCTTAAGTAGTCGAACCCTTCCAGGATAATTTCCTGCTTGCAGCAGATAATGGCCTTGCATTCACTGTCCCTCCCTGAGGGGAAGGAAATCCTGTAATAGGTTGCTTCCCAGCTGGTGAATGCAACGTGATGCTCCCTTTAGAAATATCATAATAACACTAGATTTCCCCAAGACAGCGTTGAAGCAATTGCAGCTGGGACAGTGGTGTAAAGAAACCAAACCCCCAATTTAAATTGGGGATCATTAAATTGTTCCGTTTTAAAAACTGAGACTTGGTTTTCCAAATGCTCTTTCCTTTTATTAGAAACTGCAAATTGTGTAAGACTGGGCTTTTTTTCCAGTCCATAATGAGAATGTGCTACACAAAATAGGCATTGTGCAGTGTTTTCCACGGGTGACAGTGTGCAAAAATAGTTCAGGCAGTTTAGTCAAGTGTTTCAGGTCTGTTTAACAAAGTTCTGGTTTATGACCTCCTCCAGGATTTGTAACATCCTCTCAAATTCCTGAAAAGAGGGTTTATTTTCCCCAGATGTGTGGTCACGTAGTGTGAATGTTTAAGCATCAGCTTTATCATCTGTAGTTTGTTCTCACTGAATTTTTTTTTGATTTTGCTTTACTGAAACTTAATTTTTTGTTTGTTAAAGGAACTGCATGATTTCTTGTTGCACAGGCTTTTCCTACTTTTGGAATTTGAAATTACAATTTTAGAGACCTTGCTTGACTCTTTGCTTGTGAAAATGGAAGTGTAGAGGGTTTTTTTAAATTTGGTTATTTATCTGTTAATTTTTTGTTCGGTTTAGAGCTGTCAAAGAGCACTCTGTTTTAGATATATTGAGATAAACGTCCAGAATAATTTCTAAAAATTACAACTCCGACACTTGCCCTGAAAAGAAATCTTTAATCCTAAATTCTGAGCAGGGAAACAATGAAAGACTTGGATTTTCAGAGTATTATTGTTCTTAAGATTAGATTTCCTCTGTAGGGCATAATGAAAAGGGCGTGATGAATGATCGTGTTCATTTTAGAGCAGGGATAATTTTTAGAAAAGAAGAGAGGAATAATCAGTGCAAATCAGAAAATAATAACTGGTGAAAACGAATCGAATTGCAAGCTTGGTGTTCACCGCTCAGCCCGCGCGTGCCAGTAGCGACGTTGTCCTTGGCAGCGTCCCGGCGGATCGTCAGCGGCATGAGGAGCGCAGGTGGTTTCTGTGGGATCTCAGGTTTAAACAGTTCCATGGCTTGGAACACCCTTCTCTTCCCTACCAGAAGTTACAAAAGCCATAATCATCCTGGGCGGATGCAGCAACTAAAGACTGAGTCAAATTTTGTTCTCAGGGTGCAAGTGCAGTGTGATTTCCTACACCTATGTGTTCTTACGCCGGTGTTTCCAAGAGCATCGTCTAATTTGATGTCTGTTTTCCCCTAAGGAATTCTAACTCTTCAGAACCGTGACGTCTGCACAAAACTGCTGAGCGTTTGGGTAGAGTCGCGTCGTTGTGTGCTGAGATACTTCATAAGCCTTTAGACATCCTGTGCTCTTTGTCAGCTACATCCTTCTCTCATCCGAAATAACAATCTAACTATAGTTTCAATATTCAATATCCTTCTCCGACAGATGTTTTCTGGCAAATGTCTTCCTGCGTTGGTGAATTCTCCCTCAAGAAGCAACAAGACACCTGCAGGAAGTGAATCAAGACTCTGGAGCAGCAGAAAAAATAATCACCTGCTTTAAAATAAATAAATAAAAGTACTGTTGGGGGAAAAAGAAAAAATAAAATAGTGGAGAAGCATTTCTTTCTATTTGTTTCTAGGTGTAAAATTTTAATAATTAATGCAGAATTCTGTGATCATTGAGTCGTTAGTGGCTAATGTTTGAAAAAAGCTATTGCTGTGGGGTCTGTGACGTGCTCCTGAAGTCTCTGGGGGTAGTTTTGTAGCGGTGTGGGCAGCCCCAGCCCGCCCCGGAGCCAGCAGGGGCCAGGCTTGCTTTATTCCTCCGCAGCCTGCGGAGCGCTGACAGCCGCAGGGATGAGCTGGGATGCCGAAGTGATGGAAGTGATGGCATTGCTGTGGTTCCACACCCTTCTGCTGCTGGAATCCCACAGCTCCTGCCCGGGCTCTGGCTGGGAGGAAAAAAGGGTCTGTGCGGTGCCGACCCTCGAGGTGTAACTGGGAGGGAGCGTTATGTCGAAGGTGGCACAAGTGTTGATTTTTTAATAGTCTATATCCTCAATGTTGTAGTATACTTTACTTTCATACTACCTACTTTTTGGACTTAGAGGGATTTTCACGGTACACGTTGGTAGTGTGAAAATGAGAGATGGTGTTGCAACTTTGTATAAATATTACCTTGCAAAACAAAGGCCTTTTTTTTTTTTTTTTTTTCCTTTGGCTTGGGACTTTTGAGACAATTCCTAACATACCTGTACTTCTTGCTTTTACAGTTTGTGTTAGCAGAGACTATGATGCGTTACAAATGTAGATTTAATGTGCACTTTTGTGCTTTCTGCCAAGTGGTAATTCACTTTGGACTTTTACTATGTTAAAACTGTAAATATAGCAGAACATTAATAAATGTCACTTATGTAGCAATTTTTGCTGTAGAGCAGTGTTTAATTTGGTTTCTGTGCTTTACTGCACCTGGTTATTGATTGCAAATGCAGAGTATCCATGGGAATTTCATTTCTTTTCCACAGGTGTAACCGAAATCTCCACTTCAGGGTGTCTGTCTTTTTGTGACTGGGGTTTCAGACCCTCCGTGTCAGCCTGGCAGGTCAGGAAACGGCGATTCCGTACGTTTTGGGGGGTGTTGGGTCTTTTAGTCCCATGTGTGTAACTTACCTGCCTTGGGAAACGGTTCGTTCGTGGGTTTGGTTCATGGCTGAACTTCTCAGATGTGTAGTCCTCACAAACAAGCAGTGGGGCTGACAAAGACGGGTGGAGATTACACAGAGACTTCCTTTTTAAACAAGAAGAAGTGTACACAGAGAGAATTATGAAGTTTATCCTGCAAGGCAAAATCTGTAGCATTAGGGAACTCTGAATCACATTTGCCCAAACTTGGTAGATCAGCCTTGTGTTTGCTCTCTTGGCATCTGGGCCTTATTTGGTCTTGTATATTCAGAGAAGTCGAATATTTGGCATTCTTTCTCTTCCTTCGGTGGCCTGACGCTGCAGACACCTCCAGCTCCATCATTGCTCCGCAGACAGCGGTTCTGGGAGCGCAGGGGCGGGATGTGCTGCCGCAAGCAGGTGGGGGACGGGGTCTGAAGAAACCCGTGTTTGTGTTCGGCTCCGAGCTCCAATAGTTATTTTGGGTCTGTGACAGCTCAGCCACTTTATACCACGTAAGTGGCAGGTCTGTGGTCATCTGCAGTGAGCAAATAAATACCTTTGGCCTTCCTGCCTGCCTTTGGGCAGCCACGTTGTTTTCTCCTTCCAGCATTGTAAACCTCTGAGCAGGTTCAGACAGGATTCAGACCTGATCTCCTAGGAACGGGTTTCGTCTTTTGGTGGGGGAAAGCAGCGTGCTCCGTCCTTTGCCGCAGAGGGGAGATGGCTCTGTTGGCTGGACCCTTACGTGGGCAATACTGGTGATTTCCGTGGGGGTTTTAAAATGTGCTGCCTCACACGGGGACCTTTGCAGAAGACCCAGCAGTGTGATTTTCTTGAAGCTTGCTCGCTGGGGGGGTTTGCATCGCACCGTTTGTACCGCGTGCGCCCGAAATGGCATCTCTGAAACTCCGGCATCGCATCGCTGCTCCCCCTCACCTCCCCGTTTTAGGTTTGCTTACATTTGGATAACCCCGGGATTTCTTGGGACTGCGACCATCTCTCCAAGTCTTACTCAGGCCAGGCTGTGATTAGCACGTTGAAACGCTGGGATGTGGCCTCTGAGAGAGGGAGTGATGCGAACGAACACAGGACCTCTCCTTTGGCCGTTGGCCTTGAAGGGGATAACAAGAAATGCTAACAGAGATTCAGATTCTGTAGCAAAATTTCCCTAAATCACCCTCAATTTAATACCACCTTACTCCATGGTAAGTCTCAAAATAGGTTAAACTGTTTTACATCAGTAACAGTCTCATGCAGAAAAGCTCAGCTGTGTAACAGAGGAGACACTTTTTTTTTGTCTGAATACCAGAATTGTTTGTACAATAGATTTTTTTTTTTAAATTTGCAATCATTTGAAAGTTGCTCTAAGGTTATTTTTCCAGGTATTACAGGAAGCACATCTTGAGGTCTTATTTCCAGATCTTCTGAAAGAAGGAAAAGCAACCTGAGGGGAGAAGGATTAAATAAAGGGAGAACAGCATGTGCTGGGGGAAATCAAATCTGCCTACGGAGAAGGCAGGACCACTGCGGAGGAAACAAATGGGATCTCTCTGTTGTCCGTGCTTATCCGCCCGCTCCGGTGGGAGCTCAGCCTCCAGTGGAAAGATTGGTGCTAATTGTCCGTGGCATCCTTGGGAAATAGAGGATAAAGCTGAGGAATAAAACCACTAAATGGGAGACCTCCCAGTTACTTTAAAAAGACTTTTTCCCCCCTCTCCTCCTGCTCTAGCTAATGCACGGGTCTGTTTCCAAGAAGTTGATAAATAGTGCTAGATTTAGGAATGATTTCTGTAAACCTGTTCGCTTTCCTGCAGAAGTCCTTTCTCACAAGAGAACCGCTGCAGCGAATCCATCGCGTTGTGTTTTGGCCACGCGAAGCCACACTGACTCATTTCCAGTGGCTTCGTTAGTGGGAGCGATTCACGGGCTGGGTCACCGTGACCTCGGCTCTGGGCTGGTGCACTCACCTCTTTTAGGATGCTCCTGACGGTGGAGGGGATGTCCCGGAGCTCCTAAAGCAGGAAGCACCCAAAAGGGCCAGAAAGTGTAATTTAGCCAAAAGCTGCAGCCCAGCCCACACCAGCACGAGGTCGTGGGGCCTCCGTGTACCCAGAGCGTGTCCGAGGGGCTGTGGGACTCACTGCCGTCTTTTTATGGGATGTAGTAAGTTTTCATAGCAGCTAATGTTGTTTGCATTGCCTCGTGTTTAAAAGATGGCATAGCTTTAGTTGGAAGCGAAGGGAAACCAACGTGTTGCAGAAGTACACAGGATAAGCCAAACCTGGTAGCGGTTGGGTTAATGAACCTTTTTAAAAGCTCCTTGAAAGCAGAACATTTACAAGGCCGTTTTAGCGCTGATACTTATTACCCATCACATAAAAACATTTCACAGTGCGGGTGCTGGCAGGGTGGTTACGCTCACCCAGCGTGGTCCTGTTGATGCCTGAGCCCGTTCCCTGCTCCGGCCAGTGAGCTGACAGCAGTTAGCAGCTGTTTCTCAGCAGTGGTTCAGGGAAGTTGCGTATATTTTCATTTTAGTTGCCTCCTTTGTCCAAAGGGTTGTGTTAGGAGTCATCCTTATCATGTGTATTGCTGAGAAAATGTTGCGGCGAGAGTTACCGTGACCTCGGACAACGAGGAGTTTCTCCTACAACTAGTTTTTAACCAGTTTCCTTCCAAAATAATCGTGCATCTTTTTTTGCATCATCTCTTGTGTGTAAACACCAATGAACTTTTTGGTGTGACTTTTTTGTGTGTGTGTGTTTTGTTGGTTTTTTTTTTAATTCAAACCAACAACAGTCACGCTCAAAGTATCAGCTGGGTGTGTTATTTTTGCAATTCCTCCAGTTGGGTGTGTTTGCTGTAGAGCAGCGGGGCTCCTCGGAGCAAGGACGGTCCATCAGCTTTGTCCCTGCGGCAGAGCGTGCTGGCCATGGCCAAGCATCTCAGCCTGGTCCGTGGGCTCTATGGAGAAACTTTAATTAACGTCCTGGGCTCGTTTTACCTTCCTAAGTCCCATAAATGTATGAAAACGCAAGAAAAATTAACAAAGTTGATGCTTTCCTCTTTTCTCGTTAACTGCTGGATCTCTGTAGCACGTTCCCATTCACGTGAGGTTCTGGGTGAGGTGTTGAGCTGCAGCACGGACGTGTCCGTCGGTGTTCCCGTGGGGAAGGCAGAGTGACTTCCAGTCAATCCCTGCGTCCCCAGCAGCCGCTCGGGGCTGGGGGCTCCCCGCACCGCCTGGTCGCCTCGTGGAGCCACCCCTGTGATGCCACGTGTGTGCCGTAACCGTGGCACGTCCGCGCCTTGGCTTTGCCCAACGCAGCAATTACAGTCCACTGGCTGCAGGGAGGTGGCTCCGGACGTAGAATTAGGCTCACAGAGGTTGGGTAACGGAAAAAAGACGCAGGAATGGTCGCTCAGAGGCTGTCCCATGTGACGACGTTCCCGTTGTGTGGCTACCAGAGGCAATTAGAGATGATCCAGGTGGTCAAACAGTCAGGTTTTGCTGAGGTGTATGGTAAAACAGGAGGTTTATGAAAGCACTCCACGGCGCGGCTGCAGTCGGAGTGGTCCTGCCTCAGCTGGTGGTCTGGCTACGGCCCATCTCGCAGCCATGGGTGGGGGCTCGGGGCCTCTTCCACCATGGGACACCCCCGCCCCGCTCCATCTCTGCAATAACGTTCCTGCAACAGCAACTGGGGAGGGGAAATGAGGTGCCAGAGCGTCGACTTCATCCACAACCAGCTAAATATCCCCGTCTCCTGGTAACTGGGACTCGGACTATAGTGAGGAAACTGTACCCAGCTGCTGGCAAGTTTCTCCAGGCGTTTCAGTACGAAATATGGCCCATGCATTTGTCTGTGCTTTGGGTTTTTCTCCACCCCGATGAATTGAAACTCCCTGGGAAGAGGGAAG